TCGTACGTTTGATTGCACCGCAGATCCAATTGCAGAGCGAGAAAGACACCAAGTCTGCGGTACTTGTCACGGCCAAAGGCATGCAGCTGAAGGTTCTACAAATCATGGACAAGGACCGTGTCATGGACGAGGTCTCGGGTCTCGTTCAACGAAGGTTCATCGCAGCTATGGACAGCTTGCAAATCTTCGTCACCAACTCAAAGACCTTTAGCAGTCCGGAGGATATCCACATGTACTCCGGAAGCATGTACGGAACGCCAGCTGGCTCAGCGTGGCCACCATGGGTACCTTTCGAGGTCATGTTCGAGTTCCATAGCAATCCATTCGGCTTCCAGCGGGTGGTACAGCGAACTTCAGCCAGTATGCGCTACGACAAGCACAACGCGCTGCGCCTAAAGTACAACGACGATGTCTCGGCTGCCGACTCGGCCACATCTGCTGACAACATGGAGAGCCGTATTGACCATCTATGGGTGGACTTCCCACACGTGCGGGCCCTGTGCGATTCCAGGCAGTACTATGCGATGTACGTCATCGTATTAGATCTTTTGCTGTACCACGAGCCTTTGGAAAAGACGCGTAATGAGCGACTTGAGAAGATCATGCTTGCTTCCGACTTCACCGATCTCGCAGGAGCTCCAAAGCTAGTCATGGGTCTTCAAGAGCGTATCCAGCAATTAGAAGAGATCAAAAATGTCTTCCAGATCAACGAGAAATACCTGGACAAGCAAGGTTGGGAAGACAGGATTGAAGTTGAGAAAGACTTGGCTGTCTACGAGGACGAGCTCTTCTTCGTCATGAAGGCAATCACGACTGCACAACGCAAGCAAGATGATCGTGCTCAAGCAAGAGATTCAACTGGACTTTTGCGGATGTATGTCTCTGCATCTGACATTGTTTGGCATCTGCTTCGCGAGGGCGCAGAGTCACTAGCAGAGTTCCAGCTCAAGAACGTCGCATTCGACCGCACAGACAACAACGATGGATCCAACTCGAACTCTTTGGAGATTGAGCAAGTGCGAGGTCTGAACTTGCTACCTAACGCCCTATACCCAGAGATGATTTCACCTTTCCTGGAGCAAGATCAGACTCTTCCGGAAAACGCCAAATGCCTCAAGGTGTACTTTGTGGCGCTTGAATCAATCGCTGGCATTCCTGTCGTAGAGCACTTTGAAGTTGAGTTGTATCCACTAAAGGTGCAGTTGGAGTACCAGATCGGCAAGAAGCTGTTGCAATATGTCTTCCCTACATACGGTGACAGCAAGACTGCGAACTCGTCGCCCTTCTTACTCAAGCACACTCTGCCGACTCAGGATGAGGAAGACGAAGAAACCGATAGCATTATTTCTGGAGCGACAAGTATGAGCGCCTCGCTTTCAGCTGATGAAGGCGCTGTGGAGGCGCTCAAACAACGACTTACGCCGACACTTCAGCTGCCCGATCCAGTACAGAAGTCTGACGCGAAGAGGAAGAGTTTGGTTAAGCGCCCAAGCGCTCACTATTTCCGTTTCTTCAAAGACAACAACCCTTCTCGTAGTGGTACAGAGCTTCGTCGCACTCTTCACCCGAGCTCCGCATTGGTGGTACCTACATTAGGAAACAGCTCCAATACCTCCACAAGACCAAGCTCCGTCCGGTCAAGTACTACCAATTCAAGTCAGACTTTGAACGAGTCTGATCGAACCGCAAAACGCTTTGCGCTCTACCGCACCGGCACTAACCTGGCGGAGAAGAAAACGAACAAGAAGGAAGCCAGAAGTGATGATCTGACTGAGATGATGAGTCGTGCGAGCGAGTACATGACAGTGGCTTACTTTAAGATCCCGTCCATGGTACTGTGTCTTTCCTACAAGGGCAAGAGCACACGCAATTTTGAAGATGTCCACGATCTGGTCTTCAGGATGCCAACAATTGAGTACCGCAACAAGACATGGTCTAACCTCGACCTCGTCACACAGCTCAAGAAAGACGTGTTGAGGGCGCTCCTCTCCCACGCCGGTACAATCGTTGGCAACAAGATCTCGCACCACCGACCTTCGGCCAAAGCACAATCACGTCTCCGACAGCTTGCCAACAGCAGCACGATGCTCAACACCTCTCCCGATCTCTCTGGCACCGATTCAAACTCCATGCGCGACCACTCACCCGGCGGCTCCGACCTCTCAGCTGAAGACCGCATGCCCCGCCGTTCTTTCGCATCCGGCCGCCAAGGTAGTCTCATCAGCACCGTTTCGGAAGAAGGCTCGTCTCTCCAGTCGTCAAAACCACCTTCAACTTCCAATCAAGCACGCTCGACACACGGTTCCATCATGGGTGGCCTGAATCATCATAGCAACGGACTAGGCCCCGAAGACGTCGACGACGGTCGCGCCTTTGCTGATGAACTGTCAAGAGTAGACAACACGGAGCCAGTCCACGCAAATCTCATTCATAGCCTGAGTAAACACATCGCTGGGGTCAGCGCACCTTTCGCCGGACACATGCGAGGCAGAGCGGGTAGCGGCGCAGCCAGCATGAGAGCTGCGAGTGTGGCCACTGGTATTAGTGGCGTCAGTGGTATGAGCGGACGAGAAGGCAGCGTCATGGAAGAAGATACCGATGGTCCGAAGACAAAGAAGGCGAAGGCTCTAGGCAAGAAGTTGCTTGGTAGGGGGAACTAGAAGCTTCCCTAACATCACTCTTTTCCTTTTTTGTTCTGCATCATCACTAGCATTATTTGGCGTTCCTTTGTTTCATTTGTAAATACTGGGTTTTAGACGGTGTGATAGGAAGGCATTTTTCATTGTTTTGTCTTTGTATCATAGCGTTGCGAGAACTGGTGTCCTGGAGGTGTTGAAGTAGATAGTTTCTTGTAAGCTCTGTCGTGGAGGTCTAGTATTAAGTCATAAAGATTACAATCCTCTCTTCGTGTCTTCCAGTGACTCGCGCTGTTTGGGATGGGCTTGCTCATTGGTCGTGGAGTCGCGAACAGTGTTACCCATACCTTCCTGAGTGGCGTAGCTGACGCGACGTGAGGACGCGACAGGTTCGCGTTTGGTGGGGCTGGTCGGTGCGCGTGGGAAACGTCATTGCGGCACCCAGCATTGCCAGCTCGAAGTCGCGACTTCCGCATCTTCTTCCTACCATCTCCGTGATAGATGGCGACGCTGGCACATCGAACTCGTGCGCTTTCTCACTCAACTTCGGTCACTTACGGCTACATTCTCATCTACGCCTTCATCCCTCTCGCTTGGTATACATCAGCGTTTGACTTTGGAGTCAAGAAAGAGTATGACAGTGATCAGGCATTTTCGACGAGAAGCATGCATGTTCAGATTCCCATGGAGACTCTATTTTGTCAACGATTGCCCTGAGAGTTCGCAGCACTGTGTCGATATCCTGGAGTTGAACGTTCCCGCCGTGGGGCTTCGAAGATACTGGGGATGCAGATCCTAACGCGAAGCAAGGGTTAGCAGTCCACCACTTATGTTGACATCGTATTTACTACACAACTGTCAGTGAGAGCATCATCTACAGATGTATGCAGCTACTCTCCAGGCTGCGCCATCCGTTCAATGGCTTCAACCATCGCCAATTGTCAGATTCGCCATGAGTGCAGCATCAAAGCCGCCACACTGACCAGTCGACCACCCAGTACCATCAATTCATACGACCGACATCTGCGCTACCTCTGTGTGCACGGTCATCAATGCGCAATTCACGCTGTGCTGCTGGTCCACGCCGTTGGACAGTGCATTCATAGTGCTCCCTTTACCGATATATACAATGCCTAGCCGCATCAGATCTCACGATCATAGTTCGCCTAGGTCCCCGCTTCAATCTCTCAACTCCTTCAAAAACCGGAGCGAAAGTTAACTAGGCACTTTGACAGCATATCGACGATCAAGATTATCGACCGCTCCAATGTCGAACTCTCCATTTTTCAATACCTTACCGACCGAAGTGCGCGATATCATATACGACTACCTCTGGAGCGATACGAAGTGCTTTATCCAGCGGTACGATACCAAAGACTACAAAGTAGCCTATGATAGAAGGCACGACTCGGTTGAAGCACCAGCCGCTTACGGTAAAGTCCCATGGCTTCTTACCAACAAGCAAATGATGCGCGAAGGCATCCGGCAGCTACACCAGAAGTCAACGTGGCACCTGGATAACCGGATATTAGATACACATCCCCAAAGCTATATCTTAGACGCCATCACTCCATCAGAATGCCATACGCACGAGATCTTCATCCAGTGCGACTGGCCGATGATCTTCGATGACGTGAAGCGAGTCTACCGGCTCAGCGAAGTAGCACGGGCTGAGATCAATAGAAGCGCTGCGACAGCTAATGTATCGACTCCGCTCGACACTGTTTGTATCAAACTCGTCCGCCCAACCAATGAGCGACTAGCTGCCAACAGCGCGGCAGACTTTACCTTTAACCTCTCTGGCCTCGAAATCTTATCTAGCCATACCGAGCTTCGTCGTCTCCAGGTCCACCTCGTTGGCGTCGTTGATGATACTAAAATGCTTGTGTGGTATTGGAGTTTGCGAGGGGAGACCGACAGCGCAAATAAAGCTAGGCGTCTGGAAGATCATTACTTGGATGCTTGGAAGAAGGAGCTCTCTCGTGCGGCTGCGCTGGTGATTCCCGGGAGCAAGCGGAGTGGATATATGAGGGAATTTACCAAGAACGATGGTGACCGTTGCCTAGAGTGGGTTTGGACGTTTGACAAGCAAGGATAAGTCGTTGAACCTATTAAAATGCAGGAAAGACATATGCAACAAAGTATTCATACACGATGCGGAAATCCTCATAGCATATACTCTATGAAAATACTAAGTGTCGTTAGTTACGCGCAACACAATGCTTTGAATATATCGTCATGACTGATCACAGCAAGCACATAGCGAGCATGCATACCACAATATGAAGCAAGATCTGTGATACAAGTGTCTAAGACAGCGCCAATGACTAAACATATGTGTACCTTGAGATGACGACGAGACGCTTACTCCTCTTCGGGCTGACTCTTCAACAAGTCCTTAACGATGGTCTTCAAACTCCCATTGCTATCGGCAACCTCAGTGACCAGGTCCTTCAATTCATCCCACTCCTCGGAAGTGACTTTCTCCAATTGTTCGGCAGCGAATTTCCCAATCCGATCCCAAAACTGCTTCAAGTCCTTCGCGTTCCCGTTCAGAAACTCAGTAACCTCCTTCGGCGCCTCTTGCCGCAGCTCAATCTTTCTGCACACGTTCAATTTTCCCATTGATCTTTGATCACAGCCGTAGCACCTCTGTATGAGACAATCGATCTGATTTTTCAATTTCTGGACATCGTCTTCAAGTGCATACTCTACGTAAGAGAGATAATCTTCTTCCGATTCATCGAGATCATGAATGATATTTTCTCCGAAACCAATGAGGGTGAACGTGGGGCGTTTGGCGACAGTACCCACGCTCTTTGTCTCGTCTTCGTAAGGATAGCTGATAAGTATATCGTAATCCCAGATGTTTTCATGCGTGATGGGTGGATCACAGTCGTGTTGTAGGAACCACATCGCATCAAAGAGCTGTGTTATGGCGAGCCAGAGGAGAGCTTTTGGAAGTGTTGCCAGACGATCGAAGTGGTCGAGTGTCAGGAGATCACAACACACTGGAGTGGTTGCAATGGCCAGCCAACCTGGCTTCCTCACGCGGAGCCAACCTCGCTTCTTCTCGTCGTCGGTTTCGAAGTCATCGTGGTCTACCATATCCGCACAGTATTTGCGACCGCCGCGCGAAGACCCTTGAGGACGCATTTCCAGAAGAGTGCTTACTTCTCGTTCCAAGCAACTTATTGGGGGATCATTGTAGGCGGTAGAGTTGCGCTTCCGGATTGTCTTTATCCCTACGACGCGTTTTAGGAGGCTTTCGATGACTGACTCCTCGTCGACACCTGAAGTCATCTTGGAACGCGCCTCTCTCAAGTCAGGATTGGGGACACATAAGCTAAAGTGATATTCGTCGTAGTCACTGATTTGGCGGAGGTATGTGTAATCATGGGGTGGCCGTGTCATGTCGTCGAACCCGCTGCCTCCTCTTACAGACATTGCGTGCTGATCGATGTAGGTAGATATGAATTGGGTAAAGGTTGTTGGTACCGACGATAGGTTGGGGTTTTCTTGGTCGCTACTGAGATGATAGCTGCAACGAACGATAGCGGGTGGTCCACTGGAAAGCGGAAGGGTACCAGTTAATAAGCCGCGCGAGAAGTTTGCGAAGCTCCCCGCGACAGCGCAAACATTCCTGATCCTTGATTACCATTCACAATCAGCGTTCAGCAAGACTCTTCCTTATGACCTTCGTCTGGTTTGTCAAGCATCACGAGGCATCCTCTTCCCTAAGCTTCGCCCTATACCAAGGCTTAGCAATCTTAGCAATCTCAATCTTCAACGCCGCCTCATCCACACGATGCTCTTTGATACGACTCTTCTCTTCCTCCAAAATATCATATTGTATCCACTTCAAAAAGTCGCCCAGTGCCCTCACATCCCGCTCAACACCTTTCTCACGCAGCACATCCCAGCCCTGCTCTAACCGCTGCTGCGAGCACCACGCAACTGCTACCGTTGCGGCTGCTTTGCGTCGCCCTTTGATGATATCGGCGCCTTCATGTTGTTTTGGAATGCGGAAGTATGTAGGTTTGAACTTTCCCCCTTTGCTCTTGAACCAGAGAGAGGTGTCGGCGTTGTACTGGGTAGGTACGGGTTTCCAGACAATGCCTTCGCCCAAACCGGATATACCGAAAGTCGCTGCGAAAGGGCAGTGAGCGGCGACTTCCTCGGTCATGCGTTCGACTTCTGATACTGTGCGATCGTAGTTGTCCGGGTAGAGTGTTGTGTGGAAGAGGCCAGCTCTAGAGGCGTTGTAGATATCGTAGTCCGGCAAGCAGATATCGTTGTATTCTTCGTTCTTCTGCCATGCAGCATTGATGTAAACCGAGACTATGACAAAGCGGCGTGATAGTTGTGCGATGGCGACGTCTTTTTGGATCTTCTCGCCTATCCATTCACCGGCTATCACGATGGGCGAGTCTCCTTCGACTGTTTTGCTAGGGTTTAGCTCTTTCCATCGTGCCAGATACACGTCTCGCAGTCCCAGTATGGCCTCGGTCTTCTCTGACATATGTGACGCAAATCCTTGATTATCTTTTGCGACGGACAAACCAGTTATGTTGCGTGACTGAAAGACGATGCGATCGTCAGGGTACACGAGTATGTCTGCATGCGTGCCATGAAGTTTGACAGTACCCACGAAAGGTACTGGGTCCACAGTAATGTTTGCTTCTGGATGGGCAGGATCGCGGTTCAAGCGCCGCAGCTGCTCGATGATCTCAGGGATGTGTGTCGTGATCTTGGGGTACAGCGTCGACTGTGCGGGGTCTGTAGTTGCCATCGTGGGAGAATAAAAAAATTCCAGAATCCCACAGTGGTTTTCAGGTCTGCTTGAATCACGAAAAACGTGGCGATGCTCTCAGGTGCCGTCGCAGTGTGCGGCAGTCCGCCCGCGTTGTGCTGCGATCCTCCTGATCGCGGCTAGTTGTTCTTAACATGGATGGATTACTTCAAAGTTCGCATGTGAGATGAAAACTATGATGAAGAGGTTTGTGAGTCAAGACAGACGCTGCTGTGTCGCTCAGAAGCTTCGAGCGTGGCCCCTGGAGGTCTGACGTTGCGACACTGTTATCGATACGCCGCGGTCAGCATCGCGATCTTCACATTATGGCACCTCAAACCCAGCGTATCCAATATCGTGCTTGAGCGCGAACAGTCGCTATCATGTGAAATACTGGCACCACCAGTACAATTGACACAGCAAAGTTGGGTCCCAGCTGGGATTTTCTCATGCGAATTCAAATCATTATATCATTCATGACAGCTAGTCTCTAGCGCGTTGATTACGTGACGTGGACCAATTTTCTAATGCAATTGCTCAAGCAGGTCATGAAATCTCTGCCAACTTCTACGTTCTAACCCGTCATGATGCTTCCACCTTCTTCCCGTCCAGTTGGCAGTCCTTCTTCTTGTCGTCTTTGTGCAACTCCGGGTTTAGCGGATGCTTGGAGTCATAACCGACTCTCTTGACAATACCCAATCCTTTCGTCCTGCCCTCACGGAATAGTATCCGATCGCCGACAGTCAAGTACTCTGGTCGCTGTACGAAGCGGAAGGCTACCTGTGCTCGGTCACCAGTGCGGATGTACTGGCGATCGATGTCGATGATGGCGCAGGTTTGGGACACTGGTCCAACGTGTAGCATAGCCTGGTACTTGGTCTTGATAGTCGTCGCGTGCGACAAGATCAAGACTTCGGCAACGAACTCGCGGTACACTTTCGGGGCTGGTAATATGCCAGTTGTCGGGTCTGGCTTTTCAGCCTTGTGCAAAACGACCATGCCTTTTCGCACGTCTTTCCGCCGAACGTTGCGCAGTGCGAGACTAGCAGACTGGCCAGCGGAGCATCCTGGAACTTGTATCCGTTTGCGCTCGACGGAACGCACCTTTGTCGTTTGGAACTGGCCAAGGCTGTCGGGACCGATCAAAACTGTGTCGCCAGAATGTATCTCACCAGACTTCACAACACCTGAAACCACAGTACCAACGAAAGGTACCGAGAATGTGTCGTTGACGTGGAATTCTAGAGGGGCAGACGCATCGTAATTGCCGTGATGCGGTAATGCGTTGAGGAACATGCGCACCAGATCCAGGTTGTGACCAGTGACATTGGAAACTTGGAAGATAGGACATATACGACTCGACACAAATTGGGTAGCGGTGGTGATGCACTCCTCCCTATTGTTGATGAATACCGGTATCTTTCGCGCTCCTGGAGATTTGAGAATCTTGGACAGCTGAGTTATAGTCTGTTCAAGAATCTGTGGCGGACAAATGTCGATTTTGGTGATGACGACCATGACGGGGACGTTGAGCGCAAGTGCGATTCCGAGATGCTCTTTACTCATGCCCACTAAACCGTTGTTTGCCGCGATCATCAACAGACAGTAATTGGGCTCGCTTGACAGGAGCCCAAAGACGGTAGTCCGCAGGTATCTCTCGTGACCAGCGAGATCAGTAAAGCTGATGACCTTGGCGGATCGCCGTCCAATCTCTTCCCAAGTAAGTTTTCGACCTGCGACGTTCGACACAACGACTTCGCTCTTGCTGTCAAAGCCCATTATCTCCATGCCGACTGAGCTGGTTCGACCACTCTCGATTTCGTGTTTGTGGCGGAAGAGGTTGACGCGCGCTTTTCCGCGGCCATCGTCGAGGCCGCCTTTGACAAGGACACCGAGCATGGTACTTTTGCCAGCGTCAACTGTGAATTGTCAGTGTATATCCTCAATTGCGCCTGGAGCACTCACCATTTCCTACAACTGCTATCCTCGTCTCGATGACATCGTCAACACTCTGCGGCTGTTGTCGCAAGATCATCTTGCCACTTAAGCCAAGCTCCTTCGCATTGCGAGGTCCGACTTCGACGTCACCGCCAACGTTCCGCGTCATAAGCATCTTGTAGTCGGCCTTGATCTTCTCGCAGGCAACTCGTATCCTCTCCAAAGCAAACTTCCACTGGTCCTCAGTGAAGCCCATGGAGTCACCGCTGTCTTCCAGGCCAACATCGAACAGAGCCTCCCCATGGCCCTCGGCCAGGCGCCCCTGAATATGTTCAGCGAGCGCTGCGACGTTCTCTTCGGCGGGGTCGGTAAGGAGCGTCTTTAAGCGGATGTGCGCCTTGTTGTCATCGGAAAGGCCGAGCTCGTCGAGGATGCTCAACTCATCGTGGTCTTCGAGGACGGCGGGGGCTTGGCCGGGCGGTCGGCGCAAAGCCTGTTGTTTCTGGACGTAGTCGGCAAATTCGCTGAGCGCCTGGTATGTACATTAGCTTGAGTACGTCTTCTGGAGCCTCAATGGGAGATCCGTCTAAAGTACGATGCGATCGCCTTCGTGCTACAGGAAGCCACATTTCCCTGGTTGTACTACTCGGCGCAAACCGTGAGCCAACGGAATTGGTTTTTCCCGTACCATACTCGTTGCAGTGTCAAAGCAACGAATATATCTGGGGTACATCTGGGGTACAGCTTGGGGAGAGGTAGGCTTCTCCTGGGTTATTACTTACAGACTCGCCCTTCCGCCGCTCAGCTGGGCTCTGCTTAGGCTCGTGTCGGGAGGCCATATTATGCGAAATAGCACGTGATTATGAAATATCCACCGGTAAACCTAGGCTGAAGGTATTCGTAGCGACCAATGTACGTGGTGTGATGGAGGTATGAATGTGGGGTTGGGGCTGTCAGGACGTGTTCCGTAAACACCGCCGTATTAATAAGACGTTTGGTATTCGCGGGAGCTGGAAGGAGTGTGAATATTCCATGAGTTGTCTTGCAGTGAGCATCGAAGGGTGGCAAGTGCTGGAATGGCGCTGGCAATGGCGATGGGAGCTGCTAGGGAGATCCGGGGGCCTACTTATCGATAGAAGGCCGCCGGAGCCATGACGCTGAGACTCACGCGGTAGCGCGTCTTGACTCATCCCAGAACCACCACCAGTACACCACTCACAGCCGCCGTGGTCCACAATCACCGCGGCGTCATCTGTAGTGTTGTCGCTACAGTCATACGATACGTGTTTACGCCCTCGTATCGCTGAGTTTACGCGAGTCATCATCAAAAAGGGCGGAACACGAAAATGTCGCGACTAGGCAGCACTCCAACAAAGGCGCACATGATAAAGAAGGCATAAAGTAAATGCTTCATGGTTTGGCTATGAATTACAAGAGAACGGGTAGTGCTGTCGACGAGGGAAGCGTGCATTCTCATGATGCTGCAACACCTCGTTCCCCGCAGTACTTCTCCACCTCCTTCCTCAGCGACTCGCGCTGGTGGTTGACTGTGTCCATGATATCGCTGACACCATTGATCGTCTTGCAATACTCAAAGGTCTCCGCCATTTGCATGAGTACCGCTGTCAGCTGGTTGGGTAGCCACTATTACGCGTCAGTAAGAGCAAGGACCGTCGAGCCAAGGAAGCACTTACAGTCACGATCGGGCTGCCACCTGTTGCAGTCGGGTGCGAAGTGTGCTTGAGGATGTACTCGCGAGTGAAGCACCAATGCCGCCAGCGGAAGTCGCGAACTTGATCAAGAGCTTGGAGATAGAGCGCGGCAGAGACAGAATCGCCTTTCGCAAACTCGCGTATGCCCGACTGCTGAGCACAATCACGAACAGCCTCCAGGAATTCGCGGTGGTTGCCAGGGCGGTACTGGCGGAAGTCCTTTAGAATATCTGTGAGGGGTGTCTCCGGCATCTGGACCTGAAGCAGGTTGTCGCACATGGGAATCATGCTGTCGTTGGCACCAGACTCGCCCCGGAAAGACATCGGCTCTTCGCTCACGCCCTCGTATATTACACCATTGGGAAACATAGATTGTGAGGTGATGCCAAAGATGAAAGTACGGAAGTTGGTGTAGCCTTGCGGCTTGCTACGGTTCCACATGGCTAATCTCGTCAGTCGCGAATGCGCATAGTTAAGCAGTGCACTTACTGTTCATTACGGCGTTGACGTTCCTGAGACCACCCACCAGGGTACGAAGGCCGTCGTTGAACCGCTCTCGATCCTTGGCCAGACAGCTTTCCAGCATCTCGGAAGCACCTGTGACAAGCGCACCAGACTCCTTGACCATAGCTATGTGGACGAGAACGAAGCCTGCCTCAGATGAGGTGGGATTCAAACCATGCTCGAAAGCGCGGATCAGGCGAAGGTTGTCGTACTCGAGACCCCGTGATGGATCTTCAAGACGGTAGTTGAAGAGCGCATACGATCCAGCATATTCCATGAAGGGCTTGAAACCAGCACTGCGCACGCGAGAATGTCAGCCATATCATCTACGCTATGATGTATTGTGAAGGTGACTTCGTGGCCAGGTTCTGTTGGAAGTTGCTATGCCAAGCTAAGGAGACAATGGCATAAGACCAGCACCACATGAGGATAGGAGAAAGCATTTACACTTACATCTCAGCAACCTTGACGATGGGTAGTGCGATACATCTCGGCAGCGACTGTCGGCCCAAACCATACTCCTCTCCCCTTACATGCCTCTCGTGGCAAGGCTCGAAGAGGTATGCAGAAGCCAAGAAAGAGTAGTCACGATACAGAGCGTTCATGACAACCAGGTCATCGCGATACTTCTCTACCTCTGGTGTAAGGTCAGGAAGCTCCTTGAGTACGGTGTCGCCGAAGGTGAAGTTGGCAAGTAGACCTGGCTCCCCTGACAGTGTCTTGATGGGCATGCGTTGCAAGATAGACTCAAGAGCAGCGAACTCCTTTGGCAGTTCAACGATGGGTTCTTGACGAGGAAGGAAGCCTCGTGTGGTGGAGACCATGAAGGCGGGGAGGGTGCGGTCA